GCTGTGTTTTCTTTGGCATTTGTTGGACACTACTTTCATGTTCTTATCTGACTAAAATATGAGACCACTTTGCTTTCACGACTAAGACTAAGGCTCATACCGCTTAGCTCTTCCAGCAGGAGTCCTGCACAGTGCCGGGCAAGCAGGCACGCTAGAGCCATGTGGTGGCTGTTCAGCTGTCTGAACCAGATCCTGGAAGAAAGACTGGAGGAACGGAAAGGTGTCCAGGGTCAAAGAGTAAGGACCAGAGAGCATCAGGGTGTCAGCTCCGAGCGGTCAGAGGCTGCCTGTGGAAGGACTGTGGATGTGTTTGGCAAGGGCCAGAGGCCAGGGGTAGCCAGGGTGGTGTGAAGGGGACACCGTGTGACTGGAGCACAGACTGCGCCCTGTTCCAGGGGAACAGTGGAAAGTTCCAGCCCCCTTTCAGGAAACCTAAGACCCCTTCCCTGGAGCTATGCAAATAGGAAGAGGCATTTGGGTGTCTGTTAGGGATGCTGTAGAAGAGATTCTGGCTTTTCATGGGGAGCGAGTTAAAAGCCGGTTCGGCTTAGCCCTAGTTTATGGACTCATTTTTCATATTCATAACTGGACTGATGTTCTTGCACCCTCTGCTTCTTTAGGAGCATCCATAGGGTCTTGCCCATTGATGCACGTGTTATGTGCGCGTGACACTATTTGCTGAGAAGCAAGTTCACTCCTCCTTTCATCTGGTAACTTGTGAAACTGCACTTGTTGCCTGCAGCCCAGCTTGCCAGGCACTGAGAAGGGCCGAGTGAGTGAGGTAGGCATGATCCTTCCTCAGTGCCTCACAGATAAACAGGGAGGAAGATGTTTTGCACTAGTGACTCACTGGGCTACTCTCCACTCTAGTAAGTAAAAGATACCGGGGCTATTAGAACATCTAACGAGTAGGTGAGATTTAACCTGAGAAGGGGTTGGGAGACCTTAAAGGTAATATCTTGTCCCCAGCCCTGCTTGTCTTCCTTCTCCACTAAAGACGATGGCAGTAATGCTGCTGCTTATTATAGTATAATCACCTGCATTCACTGAGTGTCTAGTTGGGACCATGTGTTACTATAGTGGTATTATATGCATTGTCTGGCTTAATTCTCCCAAGATCCCACCAGGAGGTAGATTATATTCTTTTTATAAGAATGAGACAATGAAAGCTCAAGCGATATAAGAAAGCAGACTGATGTCAGAGCTGATTTATATAAAACCAGAACCCAAATCCAGGTCTGTCTGACACCAGAGCCACCTTTCCCCACAGCTGCTGTGCCACCTGCTTACCTAGAGTCTGTGGAAAGGAAACATGAACCTGCACAGCACTGAGACAGCAGCAAAAGGGGTGTGGAGGGAGTGGCTGAATCCTTCCTTTCAGCAGGGACCTACAGGAAGCTTGCCTAGCGGAGCATAGAGGCTGAAAGAAAGCTTCTCAAGCGTGGAGCTGGGGCCTGGACAGGGGCCTCCAACTCTAAGTCTGCTGCAGAAGCTTATCTGCCAGTCCTCTGTAGAAGTGGCTGATGGCCTTGGACACCAGGGACTACAATATGACCTGGGATTTCCTGACTCCACTATCTCCACCTCAGCTTTTTGTCACACTAAAAAAAGATCACCTTAGTGAGATTCCATTCATGCCTAGTGGGACAGGTGTGTCCTAAGAGTTCAGGAGCCTGAGTTTGGATTTCAAACTCTCACTGCCATGGCAGAAAATATTTGAATTCCAGGGACTAACGCCACCCTCACCTGCCCCCCCAACTGTCCCATGCTTGGGAGTCACGTGGAGGCAGGGCTTGAAGCTGGAGGGAAGCTCAGCTCCATCTCTTGAGAAACACGGTGACCCTGCCCAAAGTCACACAATTTTTCTGAACTCCAGATTCTTCCTCTGGAAAACAATAATATTTCTAACTTCAAGGGCTATCCTGAGCTTCAGGACACATAATTAGAGTTAGATGGGGGGGATATAAAAAAGCAGGTGTAGAATAGATGAATATATAGGGACAGATGTAGAAAAATTGGGGCTGAAAGATTGATGGGGAGCACAGATATGGTGTGGAGGGAAGAAAAAATTGGGGAATGGCTCTTCATAGTTACAGAGTTCCTTTTTCAAGAGATAAAAATATTCTTTCTTTTTGTGGCTGGCTCAGCCCACCCTGGGGGTGGAACTGGCGCGGTGTCAGGCATCAAACTGTGGTCCCTGAGCTTGCTTAAGTTTGCCCAAGCAAATGCTTTAGACCACTGAGCTATCTCACCAGCCCAAGAGATAAAAATATTCTAAAATTGGTCACACAATCCTGCAAACATGTGGAGACCCATTGGATTGCATATTTTAACTAGGTGAATTGTATGCCTTGAGAATTACATCTTTAAAAAGCTGTTTTAAAAAATAGATAGTGGCATAGATCTGGGATTTCTGTGTGGTAATGTTCACTTCATGGACAGAGCAATGCTCTAGAATTATTCATGCATGTCTGTCCTATCAAATATGTATCTACAATATGAATATATAGGCAAACACATACATATGCAAATATTCATATATCAACAATGTATGAATACAACAAGAGGATTCAGTCAGCGAAGTAAAAATTTTCCACCTATGTTGGGCACCTTTAAATTTTCAAATCCTAGTGGCATTTGGCCACATCTTTGGCCCTTCCCTGGTGATACTATAAATGCATAGAACAGGAAATATTAGCTCCAATCGAGAGATGAGCTAGCAGGGACTGGGGTGTGGCCTGAGGCTGGCTGAAGGTGGCATCTGAACACCAAGTAGGCAGTTTTTGTTTGTTTGGCTCTGCTGTGGTTTCAGTGTGAAGCAGCCACAGAGTCACACATTGAGAGCTGGACCCCGTTTGGCTACGTTTAGAAGTGGGACCTGAGGGGTGGTGGATCTGGAGGGCGCTGACCCCCTCAGGGGAGTGACCCATGAGTACTTTCACAGCCTTCAGGGCTCGTTAGGAGGGGGCCCCAGCTGGAGGGCACAAGTCACCTGGGCCTGCCTTGTCACCCTCCTCTTTCTCTTTGCCTGTAGCTCTTTCTCTCTTGGATCCCCTCTGCTACAAGGCAAGGAGCCTTCACTTTGCTGAGCCCTTTTACCCTGATGATTCTTGCTTGCTGCAGGTCTAAGAGCAGGGATGTCAGCCATCCGTGGACCTGGCTCTCTGAAACTGTGATGCTTTCTGCCTCCAAGTTGTGTCTGTCATGCATTTTGTCCCAGACATGAAACACAGACTTCTGCAAACTCCCTCTCCATAACTTCTCATGTCTCAGCCCCCCAGCTCCTCTGGCAGCCCTCCAAGAGTGGGTACCTGAACCCCAAAATGCCCTCCCGGGTGACCTGCAAGAGAAATGCTGCTGGTTACCTTGAAATGCAGGCACTGAGACAGAGACAGAAAAGGCCACCAAATAAAAACACAGCTCCTTCCCTTCCAAAGGCTTCCTTAGTCCTAACTCTAATTGCAGCCTAATGACAAACACTCTCAAGGAAAGGGTCACTCCCTTGCAGCAGCAGGCTAATTATGTGGCTGAATTTCTAAAAATTATCATCTTATAAATAGTGTTATTCCTCTGATGGGGAAGGAAAACACATACCACATATCCAACTATGTTTCAAACTGAATTAATTAGTAATTTTAAGCCTAATTATCAGCTAATCTATCGGAACATGCAAGTCTTTTGTATTTGGATGGTATATGCAATTTGCATCCTATTAGCTGACAGTTGTAAGGATTTGAGAACTCATTAGGTCAGAAAGAAAATGCAGATCAGAAGAACAGAGCAGTCCAAGGGGCTGCCTTGGGATGCTGCAATGTAGGGGTCACTGGGCAACAGATGGAGGCTGGCAGTGTAATTACTGGGGCTCTTTCAGTGGCCATGAGACCACTGCTGTATAATTTCCATCTAACTCTGAAGACATGACTATGTATCCCACATCCTTGTTCCGTGTTTTCCCAAGTGGGAGGGCACCCACAGAGTCTCACTGAGACATGTCTTGGGATAGTGGGAAAAGCAGCAGATGCTGCTGCCCACGCTCAACTCCATGGCTTACTGGCCATGGGACACTGGCTATGTTTCAGCCCCTTGCTGCTTCTGTTTACCAACAAGCAAATGGGATTTAGAAGATTCTGATTCCCCAATTGCCTGCTAGGACCAAGGACATAGGGCTTGAGGAATGTTCAGGGCTTTTGTTATTCCTTAGTTTAAAAAAAAAAAGTCAGTTTTCCAAGTAGTCATTAGGGAGTGAGATACTCGGCCATCCTGAAGACTCTGAAGAGACAGCATTCACGTAGAGTGCGGGTATCTCTGAGTAAGGTCCTGTACTTTTCCCATGAACATCTGGGTCTTAATTAACCTATCCTGATTAGCTCTCCTAATTTCCAGTGCTGACTCTGAAATATGTAAACATCCAGTGCAAGGAAGGTTAGAAAGGAAAAGAAGAGTAAGGCCAGCACTAGTCCAAGGCTAAAGACCAGACCAGAAAGAAGGGTAGAATTCAGATTAGGCAGAATGCTTGGGTTCCATATTTAGATCCCTACATGTGTGCTTTAATTCAACTAATGACTTTTACAAAATATTAGTCTTTTGTTCAATTAATAACATTGTTTATAAAAATAGCAGAAAACAACTTGGCTACAACCAAAGATGGTTATATTACTTAGTTAAATGAAGTTAAAACCACAAATTTCTTTACACTTTCAAGCTCTTACACTAGGGAGACAATATGATGTTTATACATTTGGGTTTGATTTATATCACTAATGAATACGGTCTCTCGTTGTGTCCATTTACCTATAAAATCCTCAAGTTTATCTTTGAGTAATACTCCATTGTATAAAAATACCACATCCATTCTTTGGTGATGGGCATCTTGGGTTTCCAAGATTTTGCAGCTTTGAATTTCCCTGTGCATCCAGAGAGCACACACCAGGCAGGGCCCCTGGAATCGAGTTAGGAAGCCACACATGGAAAGGCCCAGCTGCTTGGAATGCTGTACTTACCAGGTTGGCCAGGATGTAGTGGTAGCCAATGCCATTCTTTTCCAGCTTTACAATCTGCAAAACACAGTGGAAGTAGGGGAGGACTCATCGTTAATACTAACAGAAAGCTGCCACCACAGCTGTAATAATAAATTAATTAATTAACTCATGCTGTGTGTCTATAAAATGTTCTTGCCACCCCAAGTATGTAAACTGTAGTATTCCAGCTACTCACTGATGGTGCCATGTTGGTACCTATACGCTACAGAATCAGAATGATCATGGAGAGATTAAGTTTCTTTTAAAGTTGCCCAGGAAGTAAGTGACAAATGACTGATCTGAAATCACTTTTTCTGCTTCCCAGGGGTACAATGATTCTGTTACAACTCCAAGAATCTGGCTGAATCATTAACAAACTTCTTTCCTAAGCCTCCCGTGTTAAGGGAGCTTCTTCCCAAATGAGACAGGAATTCTACATGGTGTGGAAACGTCACCAGTGTCAACCCAGTGTCCACTGTGTGGAACAACGGTATGTTGGGTAAGTAGAGGATGATATCACTCATGGTCTTAACTTTCAGCTCCATCCACGAGCCGTATACACATGCCATTTTTCTCCCCCTGATTTTGGGCTTTTCTCCTAAAGTCAGTTTGGCACTCCAACTTTAATAGATCATTCAACTTGAAAATTGGAAGGCCATATTAAGATTATTTGGCCGAACCCCTCATGGGACAGTCGGGAAGCTGCAGGGCAGAGAGGGAATGATTTGTTCAGATTTCATAGTAGTTTGGTGGCAATATCAGGACAGGGGCCTGAATAGTGAAACTTGTCATATAATGCCTGATTATTATTAACTGTTAAGAGCCAAGATCCCCAACTAGTCTTCCATCCTGCACACAGACAGTCCTAATCATTGCATGCAGGAAAATGCATGTGCAAAGAACTACCCAGAAGCTTGCTTGGGCAGCCAGATGAACCACCCAACAAGAAATGGTTAAGACAGCTTCCCTTCCACAGCTGCCATTAACCTGTAGATTAACTTGAACTATTTCTTTTTCTTTCCCTTTTTTAAATACCAAACTGGGGTTCATGTACCCTGCTCAGTGTCTCTTCCCCTGCACTGTTGCAGGGAGACATAAAATATATGAGAAGCACTCAGGCGTCTCTTTTTAACTGAATAAATTTTCAAGGTTATTAAAATCCACATTCAGACATCTCCTTAATTGGATATATGGGCATAGTAGCTCACATATTTTTTATGTGAGGAATAATTAAATGCAAGCACACATACAATGAATGCTCTGAACCAGTGTTTAGACTGTGAAATTCCAGACTGCGGGGCTCCAGTACCATTGGGATAATAGTTTTTTTTTTTTTTTTTAATAATTCTTCATTGCTTTTTCATCTTCCTGTCAAATGATTTGCTGCCTGCCCTTCAACATTGAGATACCTTTGTCAAAAACCTATTTAGCTTCTAGCAAACACAAAATAGTAAATAAACAATTTTTTAAGCCTTGCTATACTCTGGCAACAGAGGAATATATTTCCTGTGAGATGAAAACACAAGAGAAAATCATTAAACTGATGACTTTTAACTAATAAAAATTAGCAAGATTGTGTAGTTCCACCTACTCCCAATCTTCCTCTCTACCTACGCACCTACTCACTGACCTATTTTTCCTAAGGCTTACTATCTTTGATGTCCTCTGCACGCCCCACAATGGCAAGGGAGCACAGCTGCGCAGTGCTGCCCTCTTGAAGGTCATACCTTCTAAGGAGCAGGTCCATAGTAGGCAGGCAAGCAGATAAATATGCACAACCCAGAAAGGCATCACAAATGGAATGTGTCATTTTCCATGGGGTCAATCATCTCTCGGACCCCACCAAGTCAAAGTTCACTTCCTTTGGATTGCCTTTATTCCCAATCTGTGTCACACGGACACGGCCTCTCTTATTGTCCTTGACTGTTTTGTCCTTTATGGCTGAGCTCTATTCTCAGCTCTGTAAAGCCTCCTGTGATGTATTAATCTGCTCAGCAAATACTTATCGAATTTAGATTATATGCCAACCCCGGCGCTATGTGTGGGCTACATCTACGAAAAGGGAAGCAAGGTCCTTATGACCTCAGTGAGCTGCATTGTCATTTTTAGGAGAGAACCAGATGGTAAATATATAAATAGATTAAATGAACAAGATTTCAGCGGGTGAGAAGCACCATGAACACAGCAAAACAGGGCAGTATGATGGATAGCCCCAAGAGGTCTTGCTCGCCTCTCCCCTTAATTCATTCTGTACATAATCACTGTATTATATAATTTGCTGTCATATATATTGACAGAGTGTAATATTCTAATAATCCTATTCTTGCTCGTCAACCTTCACCAACTCCACCCTGTCTACCAAATAATCCCAAACTCTCTAGAATAGTTCCCAAGGATATCCATGACTGCAAGCTCATCTGTCTGTGCCATCTCTAGTGGAAACTCAGCCTCCTCTGCTGGGCTTGCTAAGCTTCCCTGTAAATCCCAACCCTTCTACGACCTCTTGCACTCCAGTTTACAAACCATCCCTGCAGCTCGTAGCCCTTGCTTAGCCTGCAGGTACCGGTAGAAGCTCAGAGCCATCTCACATTTGAAATGATTCTCAGCATTCACTGAACCCTTATTCTTCCAATTCATTCAGACCATATTTATTGTCTTGTCTGTCATTGCTTCCCATTGCTTGGTGCCATGCACCAAATGCTGTAGACAGACTGGGTTAAAAAAAAGACAAAACTAAAATCACTGTTCTCACAGAGCTCATATTCCAGTTGGGTGCTGGAGGCAGAAATATGTAAGTAAATTGCAGAGGAGGGAGCTGTAGACAATAGAGGCAGAAAAGTTGTGGCTTTAAAAGTGTGAGCCCCGTGGCCGAGGCCAGGTTCACCCAACTTCTGCCTTCCTTATATGTTGCCAGTGACAGCTCAAGCAGTGTAATCCTTTTTTTCTTTATATTTAAAACAGGGAAATCAACTGAAGTTGCTTTGTGGAGTTCATGTGAGGATAAATGGGAGTTGCCTCGGTGAAGGCCTGGAGTAATGGCTGTGTACTATAAATGCTGAAAAATAGTAGCGTGGGACAATCCAGGACAAGCTGGGATTCTGCTAGGAGCGCTTCACTGGCATTCGTCTCATTTTCTGGAGCCTATCTTATCTTTTTACCAGCATTGTACAGTGAGGACCTGAAGTCTTAGTTTGCAGGTGAATGCATTTGTGCCCACGGAGCGAAGTGGCCCAGAAACCTGTGTTGGCAGGGGTGATGGATGCCCAAAGCAGGCAGATGTTAATGTATGTCACTGGGCAGGCTCTATTGCAGGTACTTTACGTGCACTGATCCCTTTAGGAGCTCCTAGAGGTGTGATTATTGTTCTCATTCCCATTTTACAGAGCAGGAACCTGGGACACAGAAAGGTCAAAAGCTCAGCTAATGTCACCAAGCCAGTAAGTACTAGATTGGGATTTAACACACCCCTCCCCAGCATGGTTCCACAGTTTCTGATTTTAACCACTGTCCCAAATGCCTCCCTTAAACACTAGAATTCACGATGCTGACTCCAGCTCAGGGTGCTTCTGTTTCAGCAGAAATCATTTTGGCTGGTTTTCCTTTCCAAGAGCAGAAGCTGGATGCATACATCACACAGCAGAACACACAGCGTTAATGCCTTAAAGAACCCACCGACTTCCAGCCTCTCCCCCCGTTGTGCGGCTGAGGCTTCTGCATGATTGCAGAGCTGGTGCAGAAGCCCCCTGTGGGGCCCCGTGAGGCTTGAGGGCCATTAACAAGTTTTTTCATGCTGTCTGTCAAGTACCTAAAATGACTATCCTTTATTATATGGCACTGTTAAAAAGTGATTGTGAATCCTCTTCTTTGCTAATTTATCTAGGCGCAAATCTAGTTTTAAAAGGCCAGGGATCTATGCAAAGGCCCGCTATATCCATGCCAGGCACATGCTTGAGGTCTGAGATGGGAGGAACGACGATGTAGGAATTGCTGCTGCTAAACCTGTTGAGCTCACACGGCCTGTTCACTGCCCGTGCAGCGGGTTCCTCAGAGGCAAGAGGAAACAGTAGAAAGGGACGTGGCTGCAGCTTCCTCGGGCTTTTGAAACAGGTCAGTGGGCCAAAGGGATGAGATGCCAAATGTTAGATCAGGGAGCCACAGAGCCCGAGGCTGCGTGCAGGAATCTGGCTCCGCAGCTGGTGCTCCTACTGCGAGAATGCTTCATGAGCTCTAAAATGCAATGTAATTTATATCTTAACAATAAAGAGAAACACAGAGCTGAGACGTTGGTCAATTGACCTGAGAATCATTTGAAATCCCTACCAAGGGCTGGTGAGATAGCTCAGCGGTGTACAGCGCCTGCTTGGGCAAGCAGAGGCAGGTGCAGGGGACCAAGGTTCAATCCCCAGCACCAAATGCCATGCCAACCCCTCCCTCAGGGTGGGCTAAGCAGGCCAAAAAAAAAAAAAAAGAAATATACCAAGATTCTTATTGGTAAGGCCAGCCAGAGAGCTCAGCAACTAAAGTGCCTGCTTAGGCAGATGCAGGAGCTGGGTTCCGGCCCTGCCCCCGGGGCATGCTGAGATGGTGAATTGAGACTGGGCATGGTGGCACAATGCCTGTAATCCCAGTGCTTGGGAGGCTGAAAAGCAGAAAGGATCACTACAAGTCTGATCTGTGTAGTGAGACCCTGTACTAAATACATTAAAAAAAAAAAAAGATTCTTATTGGCTATGCTCCTACATCAAATTTCTGAATTAAATTTTATGAAGGACAGACTGTGAGATGGACAGCCTCTAGTTTCATCTTATAAATGATCAAGTTATAAAGGATACTCTTTATAACTTCCATGGTGGTGTGCGCCTCGCCTTCCCCAAGTTACCTCCCATACCCACTGGAGCCCCTTTGCGCCCTTTCTACCTGGCCCAAGATGGCATTGAGACGTTCTGATTCGCAGTCCACCACCACCAGCCGCTCCTTTTTCTTCTCCAGGTCCTGAAAGAGCATCCTGTATCCTTCCTCTGTGGTTGTCAAAATGTTGACTGCTGTCACCTGCCAGTTCTTCTCTGCTGCTGTGTCTAGGACTTTCTGAAGAACGGACAAACCTGGTGGCCAGATGAGGAGGGCAGACAGATGGAAGACCATGAGCCCCACGGGTATCACCTGCACCCACCAGCTCCCACTGTTGTCCACCCCAGCTGTGCTTCTCCACCACGTCTGGCTCCAGCTTTCTCTTGCTGTGGTAGTCTGAACCTCCTCAATGCAGGCCCTGGGCCTTCATTGTGTTTCTCTTCTCAGGGCATGGTGGACAGTAGAATTAGTGGTCACAATCTAATCTGAAGGTCAAGTTCATCATAATGGCTACATTACTCTACATGAGTGCATTTGTTTTTTCAAAATTTAGTTTAATCAACAGGAAAGTGGTAATGTAAGTAATTCCTACCTCACAATGTCATTATGAAGATTAAATATGAATATCTTATACATGGTAGGGTCTAACCCCTGTGAGAGTTTTAGTCTATGACTCAACAATGCTTTGTTTTATCTTTGAGAGTTAGATGACATTTTTTTCCTATTTCTGCCATTACAAATTACCACCAGTTTAGCAGCTTAACATGGAAAACATTTATTATTGTATATTTTTGAAGGTCAGAAATTTTAGCTAGGTCTTCCTAGATTAAAATCTGTGTGTTGGCAGGGGAAATGCTGCTTTCTGGAGATTCTAGGGGAAAATCAACTCTGTTACCTTCCTTTTTTAATTTTTATTTTTTATATTTTATTGAGAAAGAAGTAGCAATGAGACAGTTTCTAAACAGGTTAGTAGGGCAGTTACAATAATTAATATATTGAATATTGTCTTTGTCGTAGTTATTCATAGTACAAGATGCAGACATGATATCTTGTCTAAACGCTATTAGTTCAAAACTTGCTTCTCACTGAACTAAGAGAAAGTAGCTGTATATTTATCCTAACTAAAAGCTGAGAAGGATTTTTTTTGTTTGGTGGCTCAGGTCACCTGAAGGGCAGGTCTGGTGAGGCAGGTGAAGCTGGGGATTGAACCGCCATACCCTGCACCTGACTGCGTTTGCATGAGCAGGCACTTAAACAGCTGAGCTCACTGGCAGGCCCCCTGCCTTTCCAGTTTGTAGAAGTTGCCTGTATCCTTGGCTATTGGCCCCCTCTGTCTTCACCGTCAAAAATGCTTGTTCAGTTTTCCTCTCATCACTCTGACATGGACTCTCCTGCCTCTTCCTTTCACGGTTAAGGACTTTGTGACTACATCATGTCCATCCAAAAAAATCCAGGACAGTCTTCCTATTTAAAGTCAGTCAATTAACAACATTAATTCTACCTAGAGTCTGAATTCCCCTTTGCCATGTAAAAATCATATTACAGGTTCAGGGATGAGGACACAGATATGTTGGGGCATATCATTCTGCTGGCCACAGATACCTAATTGGCTTTTGCATTAATAATTTTTATGTATATCATTTCCAAATCTAGGAACATGGCTAATCCCATCTCTAGTGACCAATATAGTGTCTCGTCTCAAGAGTCCTCTATAGACTGATTCTGTCATGCCTCTCTATTTTGTTTCATTTTTCAAGTCATGTTGTTCAATAGGTTTGAACTTTACATTTAATAAAACTTTACCATATACCTGACACTATTCTGTGGCTTTTTTCTTAATTCAGTTGTAGATACTACTGTTGTTCTTATTTTGCAGATGTAGAAACTGAAGCTTAGAGAGATTTAGCCACTGGTTGCAAGTCATGCAGCTGGCAAATGATAGAGTTTAGAGCTCTGAGTTCTGAGGTATCTGGTGCCCTTCTGAGAGTGTGGGCTCTTCTGTTGATCCCTATAGGCAAAGTTACATTTTTCTGGCTTCGCTACTTCCAGTCTGAAGTTGAAAGATACCGTCTTGGGTGACACCCTTCGCCCAACATAGTAACTACTTTTTGAGAAGGGAAATTGTCAAAGGAACGGGTGCTTATGGCCTCTCTGCCAGCTCCTTCTCGTCTGAAACAATTGCCTCATTTCTTGAAAAGCAACTTTTATAAGTCACTATAAAAAGTCCTACTCAAAAGTCCTCCAAGACCCCCTATAGGAGGTGCGTCAGGGCTCCTTGGCCTCAGTTTCTGAGCCTAGCGTGTCCCATTTATTTAGCTCCACTAATACTGACTGTATTTGTACAGGATTCGTCAGCATATGGAGGAGGCAGATAGTGCAAGGAAAAAGCACAGAAATCAGGGCAAAACACAGAGTTCCCACCTAGAGAGTCAGGCCATCGTGGAAGTGGTGTTTAGCCAGCTGCCAAGGAGGACAGGGATTTCTGTCAGTAGATTTGAGAAGGGAAACACATTGCAAGACATGAGGACAGTGTGAGTAGAAATATGGAGCAGAAACATGTACAGGAAGTAGTTGAGAAGTGTGTTGTAGAATCTAAAGGAGGCAAAGTTACAAAGCCTGGAGAGGGACAGTGATGATGGTAATGAGGAGAACAGCCGAGGCAGATCGGGGATTGCAAGCATTTACTGGGTTGGAGGCTCAGAGTGACCTCTTTCTAGTCATTGTCTCATTTAATCTTCACAGTATGTTTTTAAAGCAGAGACTGCTGCTGTCTTCATTATAGAGATGGGAAAATGAAGGCATTGTGAATTTTATCCTCATTACATAAGTGGGGAAACTAAGGCAGAAAGCACTGACCCAAAGCAGAGAAGAAGAAAGAACTTAGGGCTTAGTGGGCTGTCTACACCACTAACAACCCTGCCACTTGGTACGCTCTATTTGATTGAGGCCCTAGGACTCAGGAGCCATGGGAGCTTGGTGAACTGTGGAGTGACATGGTGTGTTAAGAGGATTATTCCCTCAAAAGGTCTGTTTCCACACTGTGAGTTAGAGATTAGCTTCTGAGAAATCAGTCTACAGAAATAAAGCATTTTTGGATCATTCCCCCATGCGTTTCAAGGAGGCAGTGAGGCGTGATTGTTCTTCCGGCCAGTAATTGTCTCTCTACCCTTTAACAGTCTGTACTAGGCCTTGGCTTACCCCGGTCAGCATCATAGATGTAGACAAATTTCTGCCACTTATAGTGGTCAATGATGCTGATGAGGGCATCCTGAAGTTCAGGGCGCAGCTGGAGGACGAATTGATTGGAAGTATCTACAGGAAAGCTGGGTGTGATGAAGCACACATGGAGAGCCCCACAGAAGGAGGTCAGCATGTTGACAGTCCTTCGTTCGTAGAACCCAAAGATGGCGTAGACTCCTTTGGAGAACTGGGAACAGACTGGAAGAGAAGAAGAGGAAAGTTAATGGACAGAAGATCTTGTAAACAAACCATCAGGTGACTCAAAAACAAATTCATCTACTAAAACCCCATCTAACCCATTGCACATGCAATGTAGATATCTGTCTATTATGTAGATATTCAACTCACCAACTAGTTTGTGCATCCATTCATCCATCCATCCATCCATCCATCCATCCATCCATCCATCCGTCCATCCATCCATCCATCCATCCATCTGTCCATCCCTCTATCTGTCCACTCATCCTTCCATTCATCCCTTCAACCCACCAGTCTATTCACCTAATCATATATTCTATCCATCTTTCCATACTACTCACACATTTATCCATCCAAACTCCAATCTATCTAAATTAGAAGCTTAGGTGTCTCTTACATGCCAGGCATCATTATCAAGATTATTAATTATAATAGCCAGGGATATAAACATTTTCATATATTATTTCACTTTGTTTCTATCAGACCCTGATAAAGTCATTTTTAAAGGGGAAAATCAAGGATCAGAAAGTTAATAGACACATTCACATAGCAAAGCTAGGATAAATCTGAGTTAGAAAGACATCGTATGTAGCCATATTAGCATTCTATTGCCCATTGCATCAAGGCAAAACATAAAAAGATGTTATTAGAAAAAGATGTCTGATACATGTTTAAGAAAACAAGTGTTGATTTTCCCAGCTTAGCCTTGAGCTCTTGGTGTACATTTCTCTGCTGGTACTCGTTTTATGCTCATACATCCCACTGGTGGATTTTCAGGCCTCCCAATGTACTAGCTATAGTAATAGCTGTGTGAACATTCCCACAGGGTTATTTTGCAGGCTCCCTGGGGAAGTTACCAATTCCTGCTTGTGGCTGATGATATTGCTGATTAGAACATCATGCTAATAACCACAGCAAAGGACTCCAGGACAGTCAGTTCTGAAACTTCATTTTGCTACCACATAGGATGGATAATTCACGGTATTTGTCTCAGCAAGTGGGCCAACCCAAAGGCCATCCCCACTGCCTGAAAATGACCCTTCCAATGTAACTAATAGTGAGGCAGTTCAGTCCTCTTCTTCTTCCTCCTCCTCCTTCAATAAGAGTATTTTAGAGTGCATTCTTCTAAACAATGACCACCTTCTCTGCGCTCAGCCCCCACCCATCTCTGTCACATCACTGTTCTATTCCCCACTCTATCAGTGTGCTCTAAAACAATGTTCTCTGTCTATTTGAATATCTCTGTGGCTCTTTGTATCAATATAAATTTCCTGAAAACAAAGATTATGTTTGTGCCCTGAAGCGAGCAGGGTGCCTGGAACACTGCAGATAATTAATAAATCTTTGATAAATAAATGAATGACACATCTCCATGGGAAGGCTACGTGATCCTCAGGACATGGTGAAGTAGAGTTGGACCCCAACAGGGGAGTCTGTTGGGTCCCCCAGGTCTCCCACTCTTCTGTCCCAGGTTGCTTTCTTCTAAGGTAGCTCTTTCTCTTCCACCTCTCGCACTGCTTTTGCTTTCTCCTTAATGAAGACACTTTCCATTCACAGCTCAAGAGAGGCACTGTTTCAAAATGTCTATTGTAATTACTAGGATCAAGATTTACATAGATGTGGATTTCTCTACCAGGAGGCAGGCATTGCATATTATCCTCCTTATGTGAAATGTGGTTTTGTCGACACACACAAATTGCTTCAGGTTTAGTTTATATAGGGAGACTATCATGTCTGCTGAAGTATTATAATATGCTCCCTGAGGTAATTTTAGGATCTCTTTTCTTCCCTTGCAGCAATGAAATATTATACTGCTGGGCATAAGTCTGATGCTCCAGACGTCTTCTCTCCTGGCACCTTTCTGGTTCCACACTTTCATCTTGGGCCTCTGAATTCCTCATAACTGATGTTTCTTGCAATTTTTTTACAAGTGGGAAAAGCAAGGCTCGGGTGAAGGTGGAAAGGGTCTGAGCCAACTGTTGTGATCACATCCTTAGACACATAGCAGGCCAGGATTTTGTTTCTCAAATCATCTCCCCAATTCTCCCTTTTACAAATCCCTTAACCGAGGTGTTTTGTCCCTTAAGGCTCTTGTCCCACTACTCCTTAAAAGAGCAGGCTTGGAGGTAGCCTGGGCCAGTTTCCTTGAGTGGATCTCACCTGCCAGAGTCACTGAACATCTGATCTTCATGCTGTCTCCTCATTTTGGAAACCCAAAGGAGGCGGAGAGAAAGAGGGAGCAGAAGAGGGGGAGTAGGAGGAGGAAGAAGAGAGGGAGGCGGAGGGGGAGGAGGACAGACCTGCCTCTGTAGGACCAATGCTTGCACGGGAAGGCACTCAGCAATCCCCTTGTATTGAGAAATATAATTAGTAGTTGTCATGCATTTCTTTGATTCTTTCACAATAGATATTCAATTAGAAGAGATAACATGGTTCTGTAGAAAAAATACCAGATTAGGTGCCAGAGGAACTGGAGGATTCTCTTTTTGGCTGAATGGGCACAGAATATACTAGGGTGACCTTCAGTGAATCCCACGCTTCCAAGGGCATTTTCTCCTTAGTAAAATAATGCTTTGGGCTCTTGCAGTCTGCCACTCCTTGAGGGCCCAGCGTTCTGCGTTCTTCTCTAATTGACTGCAAAGTGCTTCCTGATTCCATAATACTTTATTATTTGATGGTCAAGCTTTTAGCCATGTCCAGTGTGCTTTTTCAGTTCCAGAAGAATTTGTTCAATGGGAAGGAAAAACTAGGATGGGGCCAAGGACTAGAGGATGGAGGGAAAAGACATACTTAGGTACATATGCAGGGCAGCGTGGGTCATTGTGCTGTCGACTTCTGCTGGTCTTTTTTTTTTTTTTTTAACTCTGATTTAACAGAAACTATTTTAATATTTAACCATACAAAGCTGTCAGTCCAGCTACAAAACTAAAAATTTGTTTTTCAGTTACATTGACATGATTTTGAGCACATTTTATTGAAATTTCAAGCGTCTTTTCATTAGGAAGTTTCACTTTCCATGGGTTTGTTGGCTTATTGTCAGCTGAAGTTAGAAAACATAAAATGCAAAATTGCAAAAATAAAACAGTTGAACAGATTCAAATTTCATGATTTTCTGAATAATGCAATGAAATACTGCACCATTCTGTTTCATCTTGCCGACGATGTGATTCGTCCCACTGTCTGGTGTATCCATGCTGCCCCACCTGCCTGTTAGTCACTTAGCTGAGTGCTCTCAACTCTCTTGAACATCACAGTGCTTGAGTTTAGGTAACCCTTCCATAGTTGCCTATTTACCTTACTTCATCTCATCATTAGACACTACCACCTCACATCGTCACAAGAATAAGGATGAATATAATAAAATAGGATACTCTAAGAGTCCACATTTAGGCTGGGGAGGTAGCTTGGCGGTCTAAGCACCTCCCTGGCAAGCGCAAGGACCCGGGTTCAATTCCTGATACTACACGCAGTGTGGCCCCAGAGCCCCAGGCACAGCCGACCCTGAAACCAGGCACGGTGGTACATGCCTATAATCCCAGCACTGGGGAGGCTGAGGTAGACAGGAGGATCACTACGAGTCTGAACTGCCTAATGAGACCCTGTATCAAACAAATAAATAAAATTTTAAAAAGAGTACATTTACACATTTTTTTTTTGTCTTTTTGAGACAGGGTGTTACTCTATAGTTCATGTTGGCCTTGAGCTCACTTTGCTTGAAAGGAGCAGTTAATGCTTAAAATTGTTTTCTTTTTGTTCTTATTTTTGTTCTCTTTTTACTTTCTTATAAATTTTTTGTTTTGTTTTAAAAACTAATTTTGCATGTTTATATCTGGTAACCTAAACAACTAATTTGAAGACAACATGTAGCAACTGTTGTTGAATTTCTATTACTTTGTTTAATGAAATTTTGTAACATTTCTAATGTTTCTTTCAGAAATTCTATTTTGTATTCTTTAGAAAATAAAATTTAAAGAAAGAAAGCAGATAAAGGTCTGGGTTCTTGGATTCTGTTCTTACCAAATGCTGAGCACTACATCAAGATGCCTTTGGAGTCTTGGATTTTATTTGGGGTACAATCTGTAGCCTGTTATGCAAATTAATTACTTAGTAGAGAAAAGATGTGTTGAGGAGTTGGGGTGGAGGAAGAATTGTCAGGTCTGGCAGACATGAAGGAAGGAAGGGGAGTACTCAGAAGCAGGATCCACACAGGCCATGCCCTGGCCCATTCCTGACTCCAGTCCCTGGAGGTGGATTCCAAGTAGGCTGGACTATGTGCAGGATGCAGAGGGTAGGAAAGCAGTGTGTGTGTGTGTGTGTGTGTGTGTGTGTGTGTGTGTGTGTGTGTTTGTGTGTGTGTGTGTGTGTGTGATCATTTCTCATAGTGACAATTCGCAGCTTACAGCTGGGAACTTTGAATGCCAGACACTTCTTAAGGATGTTTCCTTGTGTTAACTCTTTTCACCCCAGGAATACATTGCCAGATGGGGACATGAGACTCAGGACCAGAATACGGTGAAAGGGAGATCTGCCCACTGCCACTTTGGTAACGAAGACTGAGCTCTCAATTTGGGTGCTATGTGATCTTCTCCATGCACACAGATAGAAAAGAGTGCGACACTGGCATAGGGGTCAGCTCCAACTTCTGGAGGAGCCTTTCTTGTAGCACACAGCCTGCTTCTGCTCCAGTAAGAGAGTCCCCGCCTCATCCGGCCCCTGGAGGTACACATATAAAAGTCCTCACTGGTCCTTCCTGTCTTGTTCTCCCCTCTCTGAGCCGAGCCGACAGCACACATCTCAGCTGTTCTTTGGCCACCCATTCACTGACCCTCGCAACCACCACTCCACCTTTAGCATGTGTGACTGGTGCAGTGCTGGGCCAAGCGATGATGATGCACTGGTGAGGCAGCCGGGTCCCTGGCCTCCAGTACTGTCACCTGGACAGTTAGAGAGTGATCGCTAACAAGAGTACTAATTCAGCCTAAGAGCTGTGGCATGGATGA